TTTTTCTTATCAGTTGGTCCAAAGTTTGCTTATTCATCGCGCGTTTTAAAATTAATTACAATGAAAATAATCTGCTCGGAAGAATTTAACTGTGTTCAAGGCATCATTTATTTATTATAATTTATAATAAATTACACGTATTTACATTGCAAAATTATCAAAGAAGCTAAGTAAATTATTTATTTCGCTGTTGTACATTGCAGTGAATAAAAATTTCAATATGTGATCCCAAAATAATAAATATAAATATATAATTTAATTTGCGTCGTCACGCTAAAAAAAAAAATGGAAACTGCGGTACCGAGAAACAATAAATTGTCACTAAAGTTTTGTAAAAGTGAGGAAACGTGCAGGGGCCAAATATCCAACTTTTTGTTTACAAACAGGAGAATGAATAGTTTGTGAATGAAGAGTTTGGCATGTGAAGATCGTTTATAAAATTTTGAAGGCAAAAATTTATTATACAATAAATAAGATATCCCAAAATATGCTGTGCCACTCTATGCGTGACATAATGAAGAGTGTTTGCGCACGAATAAGGGTAATTTTGTTATGTCGTCTTCAAAACACAGCTATGTTGTATTTGAAAATTTGTTAATAAATATATAAAAATAGAATATGTGAGCACTAAGTTTAGGTGTTTGCAGAACTTATCACAAACTATTGGCGCAGCCGAAGAAATCACAGAAATGGGTGAACACTGGTTATTTATTGTAACGACGGTACAGTCTATTTAATATTACAGTATTAAAAAACGCTCTACGTAATATTAAAATGAACATGGAATTAATCATTAAAATATTCACCATAATAAAATCCAATATGATTCGGCAATTTTTTGATTCGGCAATAATTAGAGAATGAATTTATTAAAATGTAGCAAGTTCTATAAAAATTTCATATGTAAAATGTAATTTTACAAGAAAATTGTTTAATGAAATTACTTTTTATATTCGTACGTAAAGCTAACGAAAAGACAGAACTAATAATTAAAAATATATACAAATATTAATTAAGAAACGATAAAACGTTTGTTCTACAGCTAATATTTCCGTAAAATAAGTAGTCTACACATTCCGTCGGAACATAAAACGAATAGAACCAACATTTTATCTGGATTGGACAAAAATTGCAGGAGTTATAAAATATTCGCACACAGACAACGGCTTTTATATTAGTAATGATCCCCAGAAAAGTGCATTACTTAATATTAAGATCGTAAAATAGATATATTAGAAGCTTTAACGTATCCTTTTCGTTTGTATCCGTCTAAGATATTTTTATTGACTATTTTAAATAATATCAATGTTAAATAAATAAATAACGATATAAACACGCTTAAACTCTTTCGAACCGATTATTTTGTTTCAAATTACTCCAACGGCATGTGATGAATAAGCAACCTTCAATTTTCTGATAACAAAAGCAAGGTACAAAACACCTTTTGAAACCCTTTTAACAAGACAAATAAGATTGACAACGGAGAAGAGAGATTATTACTGTTCGTATTGTTTATACTTTTTCACTTTCTTTCGACGTTTATAAAAGAAAGAAAGAAATACAGAAATTTTAAATTTTATAGAACATTATTCCTGCATACATGAATATTCGTCGAATATTCATATTAACTCGTCTGGTATNTTGTTCATCTAATTAATTGCCTTTTAATTTAATTTTAATCATTAATATACTTAAATCAGGCCTGGCCAACCCGCGGTCCGTCACGTTAAATTGTGTGGCCCGCTAAGCGATATTATATAGCTATTAAAACATTCGTTTTCGGTTTTGTGTATACCAAAAGAATTAAATGAATGAAAATTTGCATATGTCATTGTTATAATGCTCAAGTGCGAGTACGAACTCTTGGTATAACAGTGAAATCTTATTCATTTTGTATTTGTTTTACTTTTTTAAAAGCGCGTTTGCCTACATTGTGGCTCGTTGTAATGTTAAGCGTGATCAAAGAAATGGCCCGCGAAACAATTTGAGTTGGCCAGGCCGGTCTTAAATAATAAATCTAAATCAGTTCGGCCTAGGCCAAACTGGATTGTCCTAGGCTAAACTAGTATATCCTGACACTCGTAGGATAAACTAGTTTGGCCTAAGATCGGCTTTAGCCGGTAATATTTACATAAAAGAACTAAAAAAGAAATTTATTCTAAACGGATATCCTAATAGTTTAATCGATCGCTGGGAAAACAAGATAAATAGTAAAATGAATAATAAAAAATCAAAAAAAAAGCTGAATACAGATACAAAATATACTAGTTTTCCATATATAAAAGGACTATATGAGAACATCAACAAAGATTTACAAAAAATAAATGCAAAATTAGCTGTTTTTCATGACCATTGTTTAATAAATAACTGTAATATAGATAAAAATAATGTTAAAATCCTACACAAAGATAAAAATATGTATAATAGAAAATTTAAAGAAAGCCTCTCACTTTTAATAGCCAAAAATTGTATCAATAAACATTTAAGTGTAAAAATAAATGAGAACTGGATGAAAATATTATAATACACACAACATACATTAATGTTGATTGTAATTATCTATAATAGTTATGCTGTTATCAATAATATCTTTCTTTGTAATATGCAAATCAGTACAAAACTGCAATGCAGTATGTAACGCGGATATGGTTAATTTAAAAAACAATAACGTAAAAAATTGTCTACTTCTCTTTCGAGAAAAATCTGATTATGTCTAAGATTCTTGGATATTGTGAAATAGGTAAAAGTTCATTTATAGCAAATTTTAATGAAATTACTCCACTTATTGTAAAATAAGTTGTGTGCGCCCATTAGGATAAAGCGTTGTATGTATAACGGATTAAAAGTGGATATGGTAAAAAATATACATTACTGTATTTTAATTCTGTTTTATTAGATATTTTATGTAATAATTTAAAAACCTTATCTTTTAGTTGACTGATGAGGGGCTTTATGCCCGAAACGTGTTGTTGTCACGTATCAAGTAAAAACTGATATAAATAAACACTTGGCTTTATTTCCAATTCACAATTTGAGTTCGAAGTCCAACAATCATATATTTATTTAACACTGAGCATCGAGTGCAACAAAAGGCTCGACCAGAATCCGAATATTCTTATAATACAGCCGCCATTATTTATTTTCAACAAAGTCTTTGATAAATGTATTATAAATTGTTATCGTTTTATTTTAAAATTTATGTAACTAATATAATTTTACTTGCAAACATATCAACCTCTGGTCCGAGGGGACTCTGGATTCCGTAAAGAGGTGAATCATGACTAGAAAAGAGTGATGTCACTGTTCTATGACGTATTCCTGCAAAGTATAGTGAAAATAGTCTTACTCGAGAAAAATAAGTCGTCCGGAAACACGCCAAGTGGCGTGGTTGAAACAAGTGACAATTATGAGTAGTCACGTGACGGCGACATAAAGACAAGTGGCATGTTTTGTATAAGTCTGTTCTCCAACGTGCGACGCCACGACAAACTTAATAAATGGCGGCTGGAAAGCTTAGTTCTAGTTCTATGGTATTTTGTGTATAACACACTTTCGGGACATTCCAATTTTCAACGCTGATCTCAACATTCGTTAAAATTCGTTCCTTTTTTTAACGTTAAGGTAGCGCTGTTGTCAGCGCTGACTGAACACACTCAGCACTCAATAGATATGTTGACTGCTACTTTCCAATGAATTGTGGGTAATTGGTAAGACATTTCAATGGAATCCATCTTGCTGAGAATGGAATTATGGGAACTAAGAACTTCGTACTCGAGTTGGAACGTCGTTGATGACGTCAAATTATTGACTTCAACACTCAACACTGGCGTTGAAAATTGGAATGTCCCGTTTGTAAAGCTCGCCGGAAAATCATCCGCGTGTTTTCAAAACGTCCATCAATTTTGTCTCTTTAATTTTTTTTTTAAGTAAACGGGAAATGATCTCTCTCTATAAGTTACCAGTTACAACGTAGCAAATGTAATACCAAACTATTAATTGTTCGAGATTGAAATTTCTGTTAACTCCATAAGATTTAAAAAATCAACTTCCAAGAAATTTACAAAAGTATTTATTTCATGTTTTAAAATTATAAAATAAAAACAATTAAACGGTATATTTAACGATAATTTTTATAAATAACATATTTAAAATAGAGTTTACAAAATACAATGAATCTGCCTTTCAGCATGTTCTACCAACTACCTATGGGATGGACCGGGTATTGAGAGGGGTTCTGCTGATTCATTAAAATCCTCTAAGGTTCCCATTATATATTCTTTTTATCTCGTTCGATAATGGTGCATTTTTCGATTCGTACGAAAATTTCACTCTGAGAACGCCGTCTTTTAATTTCTTTTCTTCTTCCTTTAAATTTGAATTCTCTTCTTATGATTGAGAAATCTTTCTTTATCTCTTTCGTGTCGTTTTTCAACTTGTCAATTAATTTCTTCGACTTACATTTACAATTGTTTTCCCGTTCAATAAGTTTCAAATATTTTCTTCTCCGTTGTATGTATATCATCTGGCATACTCTATATCCGGCCAGTCGAAAGAAACCGTTTAGTTCCTCTGATCAGCTCGTCGTCACCTAACATACGAAATTCGATGGTAGCATTTCCATTCCGTTGATATTCCTGCAGTAAACAAAATATATATATAATTTCCCCCCAATAAATAAAGAAATATATAAGTAAAATGAAACTTACCATTTTAGACGAAAATTATTTTCAGTTATTTATGGGATAACTAAAAATGTACACGAAGTTCAATACGGGAGAGCATTACTAAATTGCTTCTTAAGCTTAGTTCACACTGAGCTCGATTCGCTAGCGAAAGCGAATAACCCGTCAAAAACAGAGCGGTTATTCGCTCAGTTTTCCGCTTTCGCTAGCGAATCGCGCTCAGTGTAAACTAAGCTTTATGTACTAAACGACTTTAAGAGTCCACGCTTTTATAGCAGAACGGTAAGCACGTGATTTGCGCATGTTTTCAAATGTGACGTCAAAAATAATTAGCAGACTAAAGCCACAAAATGTAAAACCTCTTTAATCCTTAAGGCTGTTTACCGAAAACTCGTTATCCTTAATGGCATTGTTCACTGAGGCTGAAAGTTTGCTGATAACTCATTAGCATTCTTAATGCATTTTTTTTTAGTGTTTGTAACTATTTATATCAATATATTTTAAATATTATACAATTGATAGTTCTTGAATTTATATATGGAATAAATTATGTTTTCTAAATTAATCATTATTATTTTAATATTATTATTATGTAAAAAAATATCTTTTTAAGCGTTTTAGTGATGGTGAATGGTCAAATATGACTTATGCTGTGGAAACGCTTTTATTTAGTAAAAATGAATTTGTCTCTGAGAAATTAATCTGTAAATTGTAATTCTCGACAAATTTGCATGAAAATATTATTAGAATGACGATTTCCAAATTTAAACAGCCAGAAATAAATATAAGTAATCATAATATCTTGGTGATAATCTATATGTAATCGTGTGAAGTGAAAAATATTCCAAATAGTATTTAAGCATGTGTAAATAAAAAGTCGATAAAGCTTTTAATAAAGCATTTGGTGAATATTTCGTCAATACTGTAATAAATAAGCAAATATCAACTCAGTTTTTCCTGTTTGAATTGAACAATTGCAATAAATGGATAATCTTATTATTTTTGGCTTCGTCAGTTGTTTATAACACTCGAATTACAGTTTGCTGAAGATATTTAAATTCATAATCATAAGAATGTGTATTTATTCTTTCAATTAGGTTTAAGTTTCAACGATGTTTAAACAAATTTACATTAAAAAAATTACATTCGTACACAAAGACTAAATAAAACGAAAAGATTACGATTATAGAGAAAAAGTTAATAACGAAATCTTATTTTTCGTAATGAGAAACAATAATACAATAATAGTTTGCGATTTCAGTCATTTCTAAAAGCTAAGAACAACACTAAAATATATGAAAAAAGTAGAAATAGAAGCAATTTCGAAATGAGTATTTTCGCATTCAATTTAACCAGTTTTAAAAGCTCTCAAATTAAAAATAAAAGCAAATATCGCAGATTATTTAATGTACGAATATTCGATAAGTATTCAGCTGTAAAACTAATTATTATGTACTGTTCTACACCCGTACGATACATGCTTAAAATCAGTGTAGAAACATGTGGATGGTGATCACCCACAAATCATTTCAGTTGTTCGTATCGAATTTATACAAATTTGCATTACAGAATAGTTATTTACATATGATTCAGAATTAATCTTTAAAATATTCAACACAAACGAAGCCGTATTTTATTTACAATATTTGTTTTTTCTATTGAAAATATTGAAAAAAGTGAGAGAAAAGTATTTAAAAAATGAACATAGCTTCCGATGATCAATAACCTATTAATACAAAATATAATCGGAAAGAAGACATTAGAGGGAAAACGTCTTGGATTAATCTTCAAGTTAAAATTTAATTTTCATCTGTAAATAATTCTACCGAACGCAAAAGGAATGTCTGGTAACAATAAATAATTTAAAAAATCGGTTAGTTGGTGATTAATGTCGAAACGCCTATCATTAATAACAATTATTAATATTATTTTTAAAATATATAAAATGTATTTATATAAGGGTTAATAATTAAATATAATTATTACCCTTGAACTTTATTCCCGGAAGTATTTAAAATTTACCGCGACAACTAAAAGTACAGAGCCAATTATCTGTCTTATTGCTTGTCAATCTCATTTATGGTGTTAAAAGGTTTTCAAAACGTCTTTTGTTTTTTCTTATCAGTTGGTCCAAAGTTTGCTTATTCATCGCGCGTTTTAAAATTAATTACAATGAAAATAATCTGCTCGGAAGAATTTAACTGTGTTCAAGGCATCATTTATTTATTATAATTTATAATAAATTACACGTATTTACATTGCAAAATTATCAAAGAAGCTAAGTAAATTATTTATTTCGCTGTTGTACATTGCAATGAATAAAAATGTCAATATGTGATCCCAAAATAATAAATATAAATATATAATTTAATTTGCGTCGTCACGCTAAAAAAAAAATGGAAACTGCGGTACCGAGAAACAATAAATTGTCACTAAAGTTTTGTAAAAGTGAGGAAACGTGCAGGGGCCAAATATCCAACTTTTTGTTTACAAACAGGAGAATGAATAGTTTGTGAATGAAGAGTTTGGCATGTGAAGATCGTTTATAAAATTTTGAAGGCAAAAATTTATTATACAATAAATAAGATATCCAAAAATATGCTGTGTCACTCTATGCGTGACATAATGAAGAGTGTTTGCGCGCACGAATAAGGGTAATTTTGTTATGTCGTCTTCAAAACACAGCTATGTTGTTTGAAATCTTGTATTTGAAAATTTGTTAATAAATATATAAAAATAGAATATGTGAGCACTAAGTTTAGGTGTTTGCAGAACTTATCACAAACTATTGGCGCAGCCGAAGAAATCACAGAAATGGGTGAACACTGGTTATTTATTGTAACGACGGTACAGTCTATTTAATATTACAGTATTAAAAAACGCTCTACGTAATATTAAAATGAACATGGAATTAATCATTAAAATATTCACCATAATAAAATCCAATATGATTTCGAAAAAGAAAATAATAGAATAGTATACTTTTTGATTCGGCAATAATTAGAGAATGAATTTATTAAAATGTAGCAAGTTCTATAAAAATCTCATATGTAAAATGTAATTTTACAAGAAAATTGTTTAATGAAATATCTTTTTATATTCGTACGTAAAGCTAACGAAAAGACAGAACTAATAATTATAATTACAGTAGAACGTCGATTATCCGAAAGAATTCCAGTCGGCAAATTTAAATTTTCGCCAGTGCTGTGACGCTTCAATCTTTGGCTATGTCTTGGGCTACTCAAATATATTACGCTTTTGATACTAAATTAACTTTTGAAATATGATATTTTATTGTTTTTATATTTTTCAATATATTTATTTTGTTTGTACAAAATACAAAAATAATTTTTAACGATACAATAGTCTTCGTTAGGCTTAACATCGACGAAAATTTAACGCGAAGCGACACGCAACTGAGAAAAATTTCAACATGGGATAGGTTAATATATTTTTTGTACACAATCGGTTATCCGAAAAATAAGTTACCCGAATAACCCCAGTCTTCAATTGATTCGGATAATCGATTCTCTACTGTAAATAAAAGATTATATATTTTATATGTTACACTAAGAAACACAAACAAGTTCATTTTTAATTTTAGTTTGACTTTAAAAGTTATTTTTATTATTTCGTTTCAATTATTGGAAATATTTTCGAAAGTTCATGGCTTAATAAAAAAATACAAACTGATAAGTACTGATTAACTTATTTTTATTTTATAGTTTTGTACAAGTGTTGAGTCACTTCTAATTAATTAATACCGTTTTTTATAATTAAGTAGACTATGTTTGAATAAATATTGTTCATCTAATTAATTGCCTTTTAATTTAATTTTAATCATTAATATACTTAAATCAGGCCTGGCCAACCCGCGGTCCGTCACGTTAAATTGTGTGGCCCGCTAAGCGATATTATATAGCTATTAAAACATTCGTTTTCGGTTTTGTGTATACCAAAAGAATTAAATGAATGAAAATTTGCATATGTCATTGTTATAATGCTCAAGTGCGAGTACGAACTCTTGGTATAACAGTGAAATCTTATTCATTTTGTATTTGTTTTACTTTTTTAAAAGCGCGTTTGCCTACATTGTGGCTCGTTGTAATGTTAAGCGTGATCAAAGAAATGGCCCGCGAAACAATTTGAGTTGGCCAGGCCGGTCTTAAATAATAAATCTAAATCAGTTCGGCCTAGGCCAAACTGGATTGTCCTAGGCTAAACTAGTATATCCTGACACTCGTAGGATAAACTAGTTTGGCCTAAGATCGGCTTTAGCCGGTAATATTTACATAAAAGAACTAAAAAAGAAATTTATTCTAAACGGATATCCTAATAGTTTAATCGATCGCTGGGAAAACAAGATAAATAGTAAAATGAATAATAAAAAATCAAAAAAAAAGCTGAATACAGATACAAAATATACTAGTTTTCCATATATAAAAGGACTATATGAGAACATCAACAAAGATTTACAAAAAATAAATGCAAAATTAGCTGTTTTTCATGACCATTGTTTAATAAATAACTGTAATATAGATAAAAATAATGTTAAAATCCTACACAAAGATAAAAATATGTATAATAGAAAATTTAAAGAAAGCCTCTCACTTTTAATAGCCAAAAATTGTATCAATAAACATTTAAGTGTAAAAATAAATGAGAACTGGATGAAAATATTATAATACACACAACATACATTAATGTTGATTGTAATTATCTATAATAGTTATGCTGTTATCAATAATATCTTTCTTTGTAATATGCAAATCAGTACAAAACTGCAATGCAGTATGTAACGCGGATATGGTTAATTTAAAAAACAATAACGTAAAAAATTGTCTACTTCTCTTTCGAGAAAAATCTGATTATGTCTAAGATTCTTGGATATTGTGAAATAGGTAAAAGTTCATTTATAGCAAATTTTAATGAAATTACTCCACTTATTGTAAAATAAGTTGTGTGCGCCCATTAGGATAAAGCGTTGTATGTATAACGGATTAAAAGTGGATATGGTAAGAAATATACATTACTGTATTTTAATTCTGTTTTATTAGATATTTTATGTAATAATTTAAAAACCTTATCTTTTAGTTGACTGATGAGGAACTTTATGCCCGAAACGTGTTGTTGTCACGTATCAACTAAAAACTGATAT